ATTGAAGCAACTGCCATGTGATTGGTTGATTAGATAATTGCATTAATGAGAAATTGAACAGGTGTTCCTAATAATCCTTTAGGTGAGTGTATATTAAAAACTGAGACTTTTTTCGTCTGCAAATGACCAAAGGTTTGGGATTTACAGAATCAATACATTTAAATCATTTAAACTTAATTACATTTTAATATATATAGATACTGACACATCTCACCAAACCATGTTTCCTAGTAGTAGTTCAGTATCGTAACTTACGTGAATATTAAGCTTCAGTTACTTAAAATAATCTGACCAGTAGGGGGCAGGGCTGTCTAAACAATTACTCATAACCTTTAAATACATTATTTCCCGTTGCTTTTCACGCTCATTTGGATGTTTTATTGAATTACATAATTATTATTTTGTTGCTTTGCTATTTGTCTGACATTTTTATTCCAAACAAAATTTCAACAATTTATACAGCTGTGTAGTATACTGGAGAAAATATTTTTAACGAGGTTTTATATGTTTTGTGGAACCCTTACCCACTGAGCTGCTTTAAACGCTGACATTTGCGATTTCTGCATGGAATATGATAATGTCCCTTTATAAAATATCGTTAAAATGGACGTGTATCATTTTTACTTAAACATTTTTATTGTTTTCATTATACGAATTTCTTGGAAAAGGATGCTTGTATTTGTTGTAAAGAGAATATAAAATAGATGTCTGAAAAGTGGTCATTTGGGTAGTATGTGTGACTTTTAAGCAGTTCAGTTTTCTAAGTAAGGTGCATCATGCATCACAGACCTATCACGGGGTGAAGATCTAACATTGCACAGTCACTATATCATGAAGTAAAATGAAAGTTCATGTTTGGAGGTTTTTTTTATTATCAAAATTCTTAAATGATTTTTCCGTACTGATGCATCAACCCAACAAAATGGCTCATATGACGCTGTTGAAAAGAACTGGTCAAAAGAGGCCAGAGATCATTTAATGAGGAGATTAGGACTGAAGTGGTGTGAATGTGACAGAATGTATTGGCCACTCGGAGCGATGTGGTGGCGGAGGGTGAAGTCCGGGGTCCAGGGAAGAGGGTAGTGGGGAGAGGGGTCCTCATTAGAGCAGAAGGGGTGAAATCGCATACCACAGGAACACCAGCCCTGAGAGCTCTCGCTTGGAACGCTGCTGAGGACATTAATGAGACGGTGATTGCATTACTCAGACTCCATTACAGCTCCCCAGGGTGCGAACGAAGCTGTGTGCGTACGTGTCCGCGGGCGAGCGCGCACCAGTGCTCTGTGGCCGCAGGCTAATGTATTTGTGCGCGTGCCCTAGCGCGCGTGCGAGTGCTGCTCAAAGCTATAAAGGCGGCCGGCCTGCCTGCCTGCTCGGTAAGTAACGGAACTTGTGGCCAGAAGGTTCCTGGTTCAGATCTCAGGAGGGAACACTCTTGTTGGACCCTTGAGAACGGCATTTAACCCCGAGCATGTATATTGTTAAAAATGTCAGTCACTATACATGAAAATGGCTTCAGAAGCGGTAAATAATACGTGGGAGTTGCTTCTAACGTTCTCTTGTGTAGCTAAAAGGTTCGAGACGTTCTGCATTTTATCAGCATTATTCCAACAACGTCAACTAAAACGAGAACAGATATTTCTTTTCTCATTCATGGTCATTTATTTTTTTGGCATCACATATTTTCTTTTTATTAGATATACCACCGTGATTTATTTCTGGATTCCAGATTTGCTATCTTTGAAATGTTTCACCTTAAAATCATTTTACTTGGGAAATCCAGTAAACTGTAACATTTTCACGACTTTATTCTTCCACAATCAAAGTATAAAGTGTGGGTCTGCTTACAGTTTTAATTGGGTCGTTTTTGTTTTACTTTCTTCATAAACCTTTTGACCAGGCATTCGTTCTTTATATTCACTTGATTCATTTTTTATTCATAGCTCATAACTATGAATAGATTTATGGGGAAGGTCTGTGGCCCATTAAGATAAATAACTAACAACCATGCATTGTGAATAAGACAGCAGTGAGAAAAGTACTTCTAAAAATCACACATGTAAAAAATGTAAAATATAAAAAGACAACCATAACCTTGAGCTTCAGAGCCCTGAGTTCTCACAAAATTAAAATTTAAATCATTTTTTAAAATGTAACATTTAATTTACACATTTATTAGAAAACTGCTACAACAATACTGAAGGAGTAACAATTGATACAAGTTGTGTGCCTCTGATGCCCAAAGGATCAAAGCAGCATTGTGGCATGTCAAGGCTACTTCCAGTCGGAGAGTGAAGTCTGAAGACGTGCTGTAGATGATCGACTGAATAGACATGCAGTTGTATTGTTAAAGCTATATACATTATGTATCATACATATCCATTAGCTATATACATTCTGTTTTATGACATACAATCAGTCACAAATGCTTATACACAAACACTCATCAGGACACACGTTTCACATTTTAAAACATAGGTGTCGGGCTGCTACGCCGACTTTTTTAGATAATGTTGAGACTTTCACCCAAAATCATTTTGCCCTTTAAAAAAAGAAAAAAAAATCTTTCAAGGTAGCTTTTCAGATAGAAAAATTTGGTTCTTTTTTCACAGCTCAGGGCCAGAGAAGTCCAAAAAAACAAGATTATCTTGGACAGTATGCAGCTGAGTGATAATTTCCCATGGACAGTGGAAAGTTCAACTTAAGACAAAAAGCCCAACTGAGGAACACGACCCCTTTCCACTAGCTTAAGCCAACAATGTAACAGTATGCATGTATTCCAGAATGTGTAAAATATACACTTTATATCATCCTATAAAAGGATTTTTTTCCCCTAAGCAAATAAGCTCACTGGTCTAGATGGCAGAGTGTATCACCCCCATTGTGAGTCAAACTTGAGGGCTTTGAAATCCCATTACAAGCCCATTTCATTAGCTTTTAGCTCCTGGTCTCAAGCTCTTTTTAAAGATTCCAAGCAGTGCCAGGTCACCTAGCAACAGCATTACCAGCCAATCACTTGAAGCCAACGCATTCCACTGCCGCCTTCAAATCGCAAATTTAATAATGCCCAATACACATGTTAGGAAATAAGTACTTGGTAAACAAGATCACATCTCCCAGAATATACTCTCTGTTACGTTTTAATGTAACAAAGGCCATGCAATTAAACCTTTAATACATGTAACTACTACCCATATCGCATGAACCTGATAATCTATCCATCCATTAGAAGTGTGTAGTACTTATGACAAATGGGAGAAAATGCAGCAATAAATTATTATGTGTTAGTGACTATCTGAAGTGAATATGAACATTGTTTCCCAATTCCTGATCCACTCCCTACCCTTGTGACTCCCTTCTACAACCCTGATATGGTTCCTCAAAATAAACCAATGAGCAAACTTTAATCTTCTCAGTATGTGGACGCGTCGCTCATACTCCCCCCATGTGATCAGGGTCATGACCCTGTCGGCTTTGTCAAGAAGTTAAATGACGTACTAACGTGTTCATCCTGTAATCCCAGCTAACCCATTACTCCCAACATCTGTCGGTCTGGTTATGGCAGGTTGTGTTGGGGGGCGGTGGTGGGGATGGCTGCCTGGGGGCCATGGACCCCTGTTCCCACTCTTTCGATGGCCCCATTACTGCAGGATGTCCAGGTATATAGGGGGGCTCTTGACCAGAGCTAGCAAGCGGCTGTGGAGGGTCTTGATATCCAGCCTTTGCTGGGGTTCCCGCTGCCAGCAGCCCTGCATGAGCAGGTGCACCTCCTTGGGGCAGGTGCGAGGTCTCTCCAGCTCCCGGCCCTGAGTGATGCACTCGATGGCCTATAGAGAGGTTGCATGGACGTGGGAAGAAATAGTGTGAGACATGAAACCTTCCAGGAGATTGGCTGTTGAGTCTTTAAAATCCCTTGGCACTTTATTTTCTGAATGGAGCTTGTGACCTATTCCTGGTGCCTAGCATTTGAAGCTCACCCCAGGTGACACCACTTAACAGTAGGGTTGCAAAGGGGCTGAAAATTTCCAAAAACTTTGCAGAAACTTTCCATGGGAAGTTAAGTGGGGGAATTTTGGAAATATTGAACGCCATGGAACTCCACACAAGTTATCATATACGGCAAAGAAAGCAGATTGTATGAATAATGCAACATAGAATTTCACTTGTAAGCAGAGTGTTTTGATGCAGATGCTTATTTTGGGGTATTTTTACACACACATAATTACTCACAAGCACTTGGTTACACAATGATATCATTATTAGTGCCATCAAGATGTTTTTTTTCAATTACATTTAAGTTCCCTTTTATAGGCTACCCTGCAATTTTGCAAATTTCCAGTTTATTCCAATTAACTCCCATATATTCCTGTTAATTTTCATGGAAAGTTTCCAACTTTGAAAATTCCCAGAATTTTGCAACCCTACTCAGCGGTGATTCAGTAATTTAACCTGTGTTATTGGTTTGACTTTTTGGCTTTGTTTTTTACACTAAATAGTCATCATTTTGATTCAAAGTCCAGGAGCACTTTCGGTTCTTTTCAATGACTAACAACAGCACTTTTGACTATTGGCAGTATCTGCTACGAGGTGCTAATGCAGGGGTGGCCAATCTTATCCGCAAAGGGCCGGTGTGTATGCAGGTTTTTGGGATAACCTGTAGGTCAGCTGTTCAAACCCAGGTGTGAGGACTCTTCAGCCAATCAGTCCTCTAATTAGTAATCTAATTAGGGAGTTGCAGCGAAAACTCGCATACACACCGGCCCTTTGCGGTTAAGATTGGCCCCCCCTGTGCTAATGTTTCTGCAGAGCGAATTCTACACCAATCCAAGCTATCTCTGGAACACCAAGTGTTGACATCAGTTCCTTCCAGGATGGAAAGTCTTCAACAAATTAAATGACAGGTCTATCAGCAGCAGGCAACTTCACCCTGTAAAATGTATTCAATCATGGCAAGGCAGATATAAAAAGCGAATTGTACCCATCTTTGCCTGCGACTCCTCCCCATAACTGTAACAATCTGTCTGTGGCCTTATAAATTAGCCCTAGGCATCAATCAGGGGTCAGAAGTGGTTAAATTAACGAGGTTAAGCCGAATCACCGCATGGGTGAAGATGGCAGTAAATGAGATTAGAAGGGTGGGTGTGAAAGACGATCCACCTCAGGCCTTTTGTGTTTTGGCCTGGCGAGATTCTCCTGAGCCGGGTGTAGGGTCCGAAAGGGGGGGCAGATGCTGCCTTTTAGCTATCAAGTGGGACGGATCCTGTTCCATTTCAGGATCTGCTTTATCTTTTTGTGTTCCAAGGGTCAATAAAGATAAAAATAAATTCTGCAGAAAAGAAACTTTGACCACAATTGAAGTTATGCAAAATTAGCTTTAAATACCTTTACGGTATATATGCATTTTAAGAAATTATCTAAATTAAGTTCTCTGAATCCTTCCATGTTGTTGGTTTTTTTTTCATACGGCATGGCAGATTATTAGTTTGGGCTCTGTTTGCGGCACTTTCGAGGTAGGTGGGCTGGTGCTCCCGCTCCCCCATACCCCCCCCAATCCCTGTCCGCCCACCTCGCTGTTGGAGAGCTGGTACCAAGGCTGTTTTCCGTAGGTGAAGATCTCCCAGAGGACCACGCCGAAGCTCCAGATGTCGCTCTCTGTGGTGAACTTCCTATACATGATGCTTTCTGGGGGCATCCAGCGGATGGGCAGCATGGTGCGGCCGCCAACCTGTGTTGGGGGGGGAGAGGGGGGGGCTGGCTCTGTGCTTTCCACGTCAAACCCACACAGGCGTCCTGCCACATGCTGTCCCCCCCTCTGGCCTCACCCACACCCATGCAGTCCATGAACGCTCATCCACACATTTACGCAGGACGTCCCACGTGTGCCTCACCCTGTAGTAGTCCGTGCTGTAGATGTCACGGGACATGCCAAAATCGCCGATCTTCACCACCAGGCCCTCCCCTACCAGGCAGTTGCGGGTGGCCAGGTCGCGGTGGACAAAGTGCAGCGAGGCCAGGTAGACCATCCCCGAGGCGATCTGGGCTGCGATCCACAGCATCTGCGGGAGGCTCAGCTCACCCTGCGGGGGCATCTTGCCCTCCTCCAGGATGTGAGCGTCGGGACCGTGGGCTCTGTTGGGTACGGAAAGGAACGTGCCACAGAAACAAACACGGCCATTAAGGTCGGTAGCTGGTAACGGCTGTGGACCGTTTACTGAGCACCTTAAGTATGGGAGCGATGAAGCACAAATGAGTCAGCCAGAGGCTCCTAGAGGCATGGAGTAATAAAACATTATACCAATAGATAAATATAGCACACGCCATGCTAGACATTTATATTATCAATTACTATTGAGCAGAATAAAATACATAGTTGGGCTATTATGGCATAGCATTATGACATAGTTACATGATTTATTATGACATTACAGTAGCATGATTATTTTCACATGCTTGTATGAGATGGTCTGGATTCCTGGCCTGTCTCACAAGAGAGTCACCCTATTAGGTGTGAGTCCAGGCCCATAATTCCCGGGGCCCGTGGACAATATTTCTTCTCATGATGCCTTCTCCTGGGGTCCAGCTGTCCCCCAAAATTGATGCGGCCATTGTGGCAAAATAACAACGCAGCACAAGGCCCCATTCTCAGCATTCACCATTATCAGTCTGTTTGTAACCTCTTATGGAATCACCGACATATGTGGTATGTGATACAGCGTAATAGGACTAATTATACATTATTAATGGCAGCGGTACGTCATCGCGGATTGTGGGCCCACACCTGCTGGGCCACACAAAGACATGGCTGGAACCCTGAAAAATTTTGCCAAATGGGCTTCCCCTTCTCCAAACCGAAGGTACTATTATCCATGCTCACGCACTCCCCGGCTCCCCCTAGTGTCCTCTCGCAGCCCTGCGTACCTGAGGAAGCGGTTGAGGTCGCCGTGCCTCATGTACTCGAAGACCATGGCCAGGGGCTCGCCATCAGCGCACACGCCGTAGAAACGCACGATGTGCTCGTGCTGCAGCACCGTCAGCAGCTCCGCCTCGCGCTGGAAGTCCTGCCGCGTCGACTCGTTGGCGTCCTTCAGGGTCTGCAGGTGCAGGGAGCAGAGGTGGAGAGTTCAGGCCCAGAAAGTAAAAACCCAGACCAAAGTTTTGTTTCAACCAACCACCTGAGTTCTCTGTGACTCTGACTCTTTATAGTCAACTGGTTGGTTGAAACACAATCTTGATCTGGATCTGCACTTTCTGGAGCGGAACTTTCCACCTCTGGCAGGAGGGCAGGTCAGAAGATCCCCCTTCTTATGATGTGCCAGCCTGATGTACCTGCCCCCCCCCTCCCCCCCCACCTCTTCGCCCACGTACCTTGATGGCCACCAGCATCTTATCAATGTCAGGGCTCAGGCTGGCACACTCAGCCAGGTAGACCTTCCCAAAAGCTCCCTCACCCAGCTCCCATTTCAGCACTATGTCCTGCCGCTTTATGTGCTGGACACCTGCAGGGGAACCAACCAGACAAGACTAATTGCCCACCGAGAAGATCGCTGGCAGCATTCATTCATTCATTTAACATCTTGGTTCTGCTTTGTCTTTTTCCAATGAATTCTAATTCAAAACATTTACAGCAGTGTTTCCGAACCCAGTGCTTGGGGACCTACAGACAGTCCATGTTTTTGCTCCCTCCCAGCTACCTGCCAGACATTTTTGCTCCCTCCCAGCTGCTGGTGGCAAAAATGTGGACTGTCTGCAGGTCCACGAGGACCGTATTGGGAAACACTGATTTACAGCATAAAGTGGTTCTCAGATATATCTTCAGAAAATTTGGCCTGCAGGAGACTGGTCATGGTACTGTATGCTCACACATGTCCTTCTCCTTAAAGATGCTACAGAAGTACTGAGGGTTCTCCACAAAGTCCAGGGTCTCCTCGTCGGGGTAGGGGGTGCTCTTCCTGCCTGCCATTGAGCGAAGGGAGATGGCAAGGTCATCCTTGGAGCCCAGGACAGATTCGCCTGTTTGCAGGAAGTGCAAAGGAAAGTGCCTTACCAAATGATATGTGATTCACTAGTGAATCTCACAAATAGTGATTAGCTACTTTGCTTAGGTAGACCACTGTTAACCTCACAACAGCCGGTAGGTGCTCGATGGGATTGAGGGTTAGGACCTACATGAGAGTTTTTCGGCTGTCCCCCAATCTGCCAAAACTTCATAATAAAACCTTGCGCTCTTTTTCAAAATCGCAGTTACACACTTTTTTTTTGCTATTTAAAACCTTTCAGTTGCACTTATTACTGCACTCTGTCTGGAAATGTACCGGCCTCAACTGCTGCGGAAGCCTGGTGATTAAACTGTAATTAGATCTTTAGTAATAAATTATTCATTTTCATATTGATTTGCGCTATGCATTTTATTCCCTTCATACTCCAAAAATATGAATGTGTCTGGCAAATGAATACATGCATAAATAATACATGACTGCTGTAAGAAATAATAATAATAATAATAATAATAATAATGATGATGATGATGATAATGATGACGATGAAGATGATTTTAGTTCTGTTGCTGCCTATGGATGAAAAATGGTGTTCTGATTAGAAAGCTCAGTTCTGAAATAAGCTGCTCTCTAATGAGTGTCACACAGTAATAATTATGAGCCTGGCTGGAGCCAGAAAGCAGTCATTCAGGCAAGACCCCCAGAGGCCCGGAGGAATTGGGGGTGGGGTTTTAGGGGGGCTTTGGGCCATCCGGCCCACTCAGACACTTTGGCTGGGGTCCGGGGGGGGGGGGGGGGGGGGGGGGGGGGGGGGGGGCGGGGGGGGAAACCACTGCTGGATCCATCTCCTTTAATGGCCCTTCCGTGAGCTGTGGGACTTGATGGTGTTCACGTCTCCTACTGTAATCAAACCCTGTAACAGCTTAACCGATATGCTGTCCCACAGGGGGAGGGGGGTGATATGCTCCCCCCTTACCCCCCCCCCCCCCCCCCAATACAGTACTGACGATAATGTGAAAACTAAGGAAATGGTCTTTGAAGCCAGCTAGATCAATGTCAATCCAGCAATTCCAGCCTGACCTGTATGTTGTGTTCAACTAAGATCATACACGCTAAAAATATTTACCAGTGTCAGTCATATTCCTGTTATTGTAGTTTTTTGTTTATTCTCTTTTTTACCTTGAATAGGTCCTAATCAGGTTTTATTCCCTGAAAAATCATCATTGAAAACCCCAAAAAAGGCTCAACTGGATATAAAAAACATTCGTATTGTCCTAGAGACATCTCCTTTGATCCCTACATTAAGAATCCAAGTTTCTAATAGTTTTCCCCAGTATAATAATGATAATAGAGCTTTCAGACATGAAAGATACCCGAATGGAGGAAAAACAGGGAACTCACGGCGCATCCCGAATTTGGGTTGCTGGTTGCACTTGTTGGTGACCAACACAGTGATAAGGAGGAGCCCAAAAGCACAGACCGCCAGGCCCACTGCCACCGAGACCTGCGGGCAGAAACGCAGCAAGTGAGCCTGAGCCGACCTGCTGCGCAGATGGGCTCCGACAGCAGCCCCCCCACGTTTATCAGAAACAGAGCATGAGAGACGCACCCCAAATGTCTCACTTCCCGGGTTCCCTATGATGTTCTCTGTGGATTTGTTGGTGGGAGCTGAAGAGATCAGACAAATATGTCATTTCATCAGTCCCGTAATGCTCAGAATAAAAGGTCATGCAGGACACCCTCATCAGAGTCGTTTCATCTACTTATAAGCATGCAAACGACTGCAATCTCATCTATTAAGTAAATTTGGTCATACATCAGTACTTGCTCGCTATAAGATCTACCCATGCGTGAAACTACAAATAAGACACGCTTTATCATTTATTTATTAGCTGGCTTTGAAATCCTCTAAGCAGCTTTGCTAATATAAAAAAAGCATGCAGTCAACTTACTCGGATCATCAGTAAAGACTGGCATTTGAGAAAAATGAGAAGCATAATTTTGAGAAATAAGTGAAAAAAGACAATAATATACTGCTTATCTAGTGCTGATGCTGATTTGAGATCTACAAAAAGTATCTGATTTACACCATGCTAATGTACAATAGTGACAAGTAGCTTTCATCTCACAAGTTATTCCATATAAGGTTATTTGGTTACTTATGTTGGTTATATTCCGGGGTGAGATTTAAATTTTATCCTTGCAGGAATCATGGCAGAGAATAGCAATGTTGGGCTGTGTCTAAGAATTCAATTTAAGGTCATCAGAACAATCAGACTTATGTACGACTGAGTGTGAACTACAGCGACACAAAAACAGCAGGCGTACGTGACTACGGCAGGGTATTATTTGGGTATTATTTTCAGCCGAAATGTGCAAATGTGCAGATTAAAAAGCCCAATCGCAAAATTATCATCTGCTTAATAAATAGGGGGGGCACACAGTAAACAAAATTGTAAGCCTGACTGAAGCCAGAGAGGCGTCATCTGGACAAGACCTCCAGAGGCTCGGACATGTTGGTGGGGGGGAGGTTTAGGGGGGCTTTGGGCTATTTAGCTGGACTGGCGCCCACATAACAGGGAACCACAAAATACTTATATATTCATTACTGTAATTGCGTGCTGGTTTTAATGGGACACTGTCAGATCACTGACCTCAAGGTTATGCACATCGCATGCAAACTTTGCTGGGAAATAACTTTTTGGGACTTCAAACAATTCATTGTGTTCATCTACATCCTCATATATTGAAAATAAGGAATTTTACGCTGATGTGAAAAACAGAGGATTTGTAATCTTTCATAAATTATCTGCTGGAATGATCTATGCCTAAGTCTAGAACTGTAATTCAGATCCACTTTTTTGTTGCAGTACAGAACAAACTGAATGAACTCTAATTGGTAAAAAAGGTCTCAATGGTAATGCTGACCAGGGATAAGGTCTTCAGGGTCCTCGAAGGGGTTGTCCATGAACATGCCAGTGGCTGTGGCATGGCTGGAGCCCAGCCCGTTGTCCACGAGCAGAGTATAGCGGCCGTTGTTGAGGTGCGTGGGCCTGTTGAGGAAGAGGCAGCCATGTAGCACAGAGCCGTCGTTGATGTCCGGGATCAGGTGGGTGAAGGTGAACTTCGTTTCTATCAGCGGTGAGTCTTCGTAGAGCCACCTGATAGTGGGCCTGGGGTTGCCGTCCACCGCAAAGGAGAAACACCAGTAGTGTTGCTCTTCGGCATCCTTCAACCACAAGATTCTGACTGGGACTGAGCACATGAGTAGAGAGTCAGGCACTCCTAATGGGCAACCATCTCTAGGCCACACCCACTAAGAAACCACCATGAGGCCCCTCCCACTTACCAACACACCATCGATATTTTTCGTTACTAAGGCAGTAAAAGGCAGCTTGTGTAAATCCACGAGTGGAGAAGATGACAGGATTAGATTTGAGTTATGATTCCCTGGAAACAGCTGCCATAGCAACATTAACTATAGTTTCAACTATGTCTCTAAATACTGACTTTTGATGAGCATTTTTTTTTCTATTACACACAATTCAAAATACAGACTCAATCACTAAATAAAATACCTGACGGGGATAACATCAGAATCAAAAGAACATTTAAATGTCCATGCTGATACCACTTAAAGAGACTACAAACAAAATCTCCCCAAAACATTTAGCATACCTGAAACAGTAGTGAACCAAAGCACACATATTTCCCTAAATACAAAATCTAATTTCTAAAGAAATTAGATAATGCCTGTAGGTGCATTAAAATAAATTCAGGCCAAGCATCCAGTCTCAAAAAAGCACTCATTTCCTTTTTCAACGGATGGATGGAACTCTCACACGTAGCATGTTGAGCTGACATAGACAGATGCTAATCGTTTTCATCAGACTAGTGCTTAGCCTTCATCTCCGCCAGCCTCATTCTTTAAATTGCTGTTGGACATTTCAAGTCGTGAAGCTACAAGTCCAGACCAAGATTTTGTTTCTACCAACCAGTTGAGTCTCTGTGAATCCTCATTAAACTCAGTGTGCTGCCTTAGAATGAAGGGATGATAAAATCTCAGGCCTGACACTGAGTCCTCACACTGTATCCTAGAACAATCTCTGCTCTGGGCCACGTCTGCCGAATCCTCTCCGCAGGCCAAACTACCCAACTGCCGTTGGGAGGATGGGGCTTATGCGGATCAGCTCAGGGCAGGGACAGCACTGACACAGGGAGACAGCTGTGCTTTTAGTGGCTGTCATTAACCACGCCAATTAGCATTTGGGTCTCCAAGCCCTTCACCGGCCCCTAAACCCACGGCACACACACACACAGAGGCACACACGCATGCTAAGTGCTCAATTTGTCTGAGGTCTATAATGTGTTTACTTTCCATCCAGCCCTTCTGGCATCTATCATCATTAAAGCATGTTGGTGAATGTATTTAGATTACTGGGCTGAAAAAAAAAAACAGTAGAATTGATGGAACATGATGCCTTTTAAATAAAACGGGGTTTGTCAACATTTCTGCTCGGCTCGTGTCTGAGTCTAGAGTATGATTCCACAAAAAAAAACAGCATAGAGTCCCAGTTCATGCAATATGACTCCTGCCAGTCAAACCACACAAACCTTTATGGTGTCAGTTTGCCTCATTGTCTGTGTGTTTTTTTAATGAACAGATCTAGAAAATAAATGTTTTGAATCGTACAGAAAGTTCCTTGTGTCCTCTGTCTCTAAATAAGATCACAGATGTGCTGTGTCGGCCCCAGAGCATGTCAGCCATTACAGGCACCGATTCTGAGTTCAGACTGTCAGAGAACTCACAGCAGATCCTGCAGACAGGTGACATAATGGCAGAACTGAATGAAATGAGTGCAGGAACATGGGGAGCTCTTTGAAAGACTTTTCAAAAGTTTTACAGTCTAAACCCACCCACACTCTTTACAGGTTCAGTGACTTCTTAATAGCTTTTTTCTCTCTCTCTCCAGAATTTTTCTGTCTAGCACCCCGTTTAAATGACCAGGTTCCAGCTGTAAAGTATCCTTTCACTCATAATCCAGATGTAGGAAGTGGCAGTACAGGCTCCAAAGTGGCAGGGGAGCAGTAATGGAAGTGTGAAGATGGGTGGGAGATGTACCCCTGCTGTAGCCACACTGTATCCCTGGTGTACCCCTTCTATACCCCTACTGTGCCCCTACTGTACCTACACTGTACTCCTGCTGTATCCACACTGTACTCCTGCTGTACCTCTACTATACTCCTGCTGTACTTCTACTATACTCCTGCTGTACCCCTACTATACCGCTGCTGTACACACATTATACTTCTGCTGTACCCCTACTGTGCCCCTGCTGTACCCACACCATACCCCTGCTGTACCCACATTGTTCTCCTGCTGTACCCCTACAATACCACAGATGTAACCCTGTTGTACCCCCGCTGTATCCCTGCAATACCCATGCTGTACCCCTGCTGTATTCCTGTAGTATCCCTCCAGTATCCCTGCTGTACCCCTCCAGTACCCCTGTTTTAACCCTGCAGCACCCCTGTTGTACCCCCTCTGTACTCCAGCTGTACCCCTGCTGTAACCCTACATTCCCCTTATTGTAACCCCGCTATACCCCTGCTGTACCCCTGTTGTACCCCCGCTGTAACCCTGCTGTCCCCCTAATGTAACCCTGCTACACCCTTGCAGTCACTCTGCACAGAGGCTCCATCCATCACTTACACTGAATATCCAGCAACACAGTGCTAGACCCGGATCCGGCTTGGTTCTCCGCCTCACACGTCAGGTTGCGCAGGTTGTCCTTGGAGGAGACGTTGGTGAGCTGCAGGACCAGCCCCAGGCTTGACCCGTTGGACCTCTCCTGCAGATGGAACCAGGTGTTAGGGTTTCTGGAGCAGTCGTCCCGCACCTCCCTGAACAGCATCTCTTAAATGTCACATAATTATATTGCATATAATGTTACTGTTATGCAATTGATGTTACAGCAGTAATGCATTCCAGATTTCCAAGCAATTTTACAGATATAATTCCGGCCCCAGCCTTAATTTTTTATCCATTTCTCTGTTTTTCTCTATGGGTTGTTCGTATGTAATTTATTGCATTTTACAATGATAGTCTTGTACAGAGAGCTCCCAATTTATACAAAAATTCATTCAGGAAGCATGTACATATTTCAAATTTTCCTTATTTTAAAAACAAAATAAATAAAAGGAGTTTATGTTGTTTGTGCTAATGTGATGTAATTTAAAGTAAAACATCTCTGAGGATATATGCACTGTCCATTGTTAGGTGTATGTATAGTACAAAAGCATCATATCTTTAAAAATGGCACAAAACAGCCAAAAGTTACATGATGTACTGCACAGCTCATTTCTCATCATTAAGCCAGACTGGACTGCTGTTGTGACTGGGAATGTGTTGCATGACAAACTGACACTGATTGGATGTATGTCTCTTAGCTCTGGATTAGGCAGCCAATCACGCATCCCGTTCTACCTCATATCTTTTTACCTGGAGCACATAAGGGGAGTGCAGCTGCTGTGTATGCCACTTTATTTTCGGGGCTGGGAGTCCCTTCACCTGGCAGACGAACGTCAAGTTGCCGCCCTCCCGAACGGTCTCCTGGGAATCAGCTATGGACACCTCAGGGAAACCTGTGCAGGAGTTTTAGTCAAGACTCAGAGGCTAGCACCACACTGCCTGACATAGCTGAACATGTCAGCACAATTTGCTCAATGAAATCACATGGATTTATAAACTTGTATTAAAGCCTCAATAAGCCCAGTGTGCTATGATTGGTCAGCTTGCCCGATTGCCCTACGTTCTGTCCTTGTTTTGCAGTCTGCAGACAGATTCTTGCAGGTAGACGGCCAATAAGGATTGTGTTACCGGGTGACCTCACCATGTCACGGAAGTAAGAGCTGGAATTCCAATGAAGCATTTCAGACAAGTTAGAGAAGAGTGGTTTCTGTGGTGAGAGTTACTCCCTTTGGTGTTTACTTTGGGCCATAAGACTTTACGGACCATTTACATGTGCATAAAGCTATATAACACACTAAAGGAAAGGGGGGGGGAACAAAATAGGGCCCCCTTAAAGGTAAGAGCAAATTCCACCCACTGCAATTCTCCAGCACCACGTCTTCCAGATGTCGGAGGTGGCCGTTTGCAGAGCAGTTTAATGACTGATTCAGGACATCTCCCCGCCCAGAGGCTGCCCATTGCTGTAGCCAAAACATGTCACATGAGCAGGAGAGGGGGTTTTCCTTCAAAATCCTAAAGGGAGAAGAAATGTTACAGGTCACCTCACAGTACCACAGCCTTTCGAATTCCAGTCTACAAAAATTTTTCATTTTATATGTATCTGAAATCAGCAGAGAGCATAGTCCTGGATCCCTCAGGGCCTGGATCCCACAACCAACTGATGCTCCCGCCTTCTGTCCCCTTGCTTTTACTCACAGGCTGATTAGGGGAAGGGAATGGAAGACTCTCCAGCTGATGACTTCCAACGAATTGAATGCCAGGTTACTGCAGGCGAAGAGCAATAATAGATGTATAATTACTAAATAGGCTGCAACGTTCTATCTAATGCATCCTACCAAACAGAGCATCTAAATGAAGAGCCGTTAAAAGCCCTGTCTGATAGCGCGACCCGAATGAACGCAGACATAACCCGCTGACACTGCTGGCCTTGTTTCAGTCTGGGCAGTGGCATTTCCTCATTTATTCATCATACCCAATCATATGATTTTACAGAATGAGTATACATCCTATGTTAGCAAAAGACTGCTAATGACGTCCTTAGGAGCTGCTGTTCCCCTAAGGAATTGTTATTCTTGCTGCTGCCCAAGCCGATCCAAGCAAAAATACATTTTTCACCGACAAGCCATTTCCAGGATTACAATGGAGCAAAACACGTCTATGAAAATACTGTTGATGAACCAGCTTATTTAACAAAGAGGACATCTGACACGTGAAAATACAGTCACAATAGTTAATACAATCAGTCTACATTCCGTTACCCCGCTTGTGTTATGTGTTGTGTGGTTAAAGTTTTGAAAGTGAACAATTAGGTGGAACACAGGTATGGAGGGGGAGGGGCCAACTCTGGGGGAAGAGTCAGGTGACTGCCGTTCCTCTTGTTGATTTGCTCAACTTGTCCCTCATTCATGTCAAGTGTAAAATGATGTGTTCTGCTCTGCCTTGCTTCCAGGAAGCCTGTCCTGAGATTCCTCTGTACAGTTATAAGGAATATTCCCACCCAAGAATTCAAATTTTTAAAGCTGTTGGTAATACATCTTTTTATCGCTTGTATTTCTTTATGTCTCGACTGACACCCTCCCTGCCCAATCCCCGCAAACCCTGGAATAGGAAACCTTGCACCAAATAGGCGCATTATTCCAGCCCCATCTCTGCCTCTCCCCTTTCTGTTCGCCGGTCCTGACCAGAGGGATCCTCCCTAAAGGTTACTTCGGAACTAACCATCTCTGTTCTCGCCATATCGGTCCCCAGTGCCCGGAACCGAAAGCTGACAGAGGAAGCCAGCAACGCCTCCAGCATCTTTTATTTTGTTATCAGTGATCTGTGGTTCTCTTTATAGCAAAGCGACTGATCGCACATCCAGGGCAGCCCTGTGCTTTCTGTGCATCGCGGCCGAACCGCGTGCAGAGGAGAGAACAGTAGATGCCACCTGGGAATGTGGCAGGAAGGCTGACGCAGAGCCATGTTGGCAGGTCTAATGCGGGGGCAACAGGGGTCAATGGTTTGTTTTCCTTGCTCTCAGAAGTGCGTGCAGGATGGGGCAGCCGCTGGGCCTTATACATCATCGGCCCGATTTAGCGAGAAGCCGCAGAGAGCGCTGGGCCAATGCCATTATCACACCGTGCCACCCGCCCTGCACTCAGGAGCAGAGGTGGGTAGTTCAAGTGCAGAGAGTAAAAACCCAGACTAAGATTTTCTTTCAGCCAACTAGGGGGGAACGTAAAAGTGATTGATTGTCATTGGTGACACAACAACAAAATGCGTCCCTCATTAATCCCGTATGTGACATCATAGTAGGCAGGTATGCATGGGGGCAGTACCTTGCTCAGGGTACCTAAGTGGTACCCTGATGGTTGGGGATTCAAAGCAGCAACGTTTAAATCACAAGCACGTTTCCCTAACGATAAGGCCACCACTGCCCTGTGATAGTGACTCTTTATACACAACTGGTCAGTTGAAACAAAATCTCGGTCTGAACTTTTACTCTCTGGACCTGAACTACCCACCTCTGCTCAGGAGGAACAGCAGATACGCATTGTTGCCTCGGGCTGTACAGCTGTGTAGGATTCACGCATGCAGAGAGGACAACGTGCGATGCACGCCGTTACTGTGGCCTTACTGTTTAACCCAGATATCTGGCTTTGAAATACAAAGAGCAAACAGAAATTGGAGCTCAGTTTGCACCCTAGCAGAACGCCACCATAGATGGGACTTTCCTCAGACCTCCTCCCACCTCCCTCAACAACTCATGCAAGACAGGAGCTTGGCATCCAAGAGCAGATCTTTTGCAGCAACACTGGCTATTGATTCAGCGATAATGGAGCTTCTGTGCCCATGGGCTATTTATTATGCGCAAGTCTATCAGTCGATCAACTTCCAGAGAACAAGTCAATGGCGGATGTTTATCGGGGAGCGGCCATTTAAATGCCAGCCCGTACCCATGGCAGCTTCCCATGTCACGTGGTGCAAAGACCAGGGACAAGAAGGGGATTTGGTCACAGTGGGGTGACACCAGACCACAGGGTCACTAAGGTGTCCGTCACTTCCTGACTTCCTTCGTGGGGGATCAGGAGATAAAATGAGAAACTTTATTTATTAGGGTTATCCGTAAAGAGGATGTGTGTCAAGCGTTGACAAAGTGGTCCTCTGAGAAATGAGACAGAGATAGGTAGCTAATACATGGGAGGGATCCGATCACCATAAGGCAGATTTAAGATGCGTAATTTCATGATCTCATGAACATCACTCGCTAAATTATGGAGAGTTTGAAGAACTCTGGAAGAGAATGAGTGCCAATTAACCTCCGTGTAAGGAAGCAAGTCTAAACTGACAGCTGGTCCAGTTCAAGTAATTACTTACCACTACAAGCTTATGTAAATTTTGCAAAGCAATGCAATTTTAACTTCAATCGCCCCCAAAAAACCTTGAAAGAACACAGGTTGGAATGTTCTACTGGAAATGGTACAGCTGCCTAATGGTTCGGTAAAGAACATAAACTCTTAACCCAAAAGTTGATGGTTCAGGTCCCAGGAGATGCCTTGCTGTAACGAACATTGAGGAAAAGGTTCTTAGCCTGAAATATTCCAGTAAAACATCCAGCTGCATACTGTATAGGGGGGAAATTGCAAGTGTGACTGGACAAAACTGTCCGGTAAGCAACTAAATAGACATCGAAAGGAATGAGATATTTTAATTGCTATGACATAATTACCAATGGTCTGAAGAGGAATCCAGCATAAAAGCTGAATGACTTACACATACTGGAGTTTGGGGTTGTATTGAAATGCCCTCTCTGAAATGTGCACCAGTCCGCAATGGTTGATCGTCCTAGGAGAGGAGAACAGGGAGCAAAAAATGGATATTGTGGGAAAAGTTCTCCTGTTACATCTGAATTCACCCAAATGCATTCATCTGTGTAGGTGGGTGTGTTTTTTCACGCTTTGATCGATAGGCCGACCGCAAACTGGAACAAGTGAGGTGTGACGTATCACAAAGTAGACAACTGGCTTTGTTCATACAGCTGAAGAGGTCAGGGAATAATCGGCAGATGTACACGATATTTCATTCTGGAAAATCTCTCTCAGTCATGAAAGAAACTGATTTAAAAAATTAGATCTATTGAACACAATAGGTTGATTGTTATTGCATTGAATGTATTTACATTGAAATGCAAAATGCATATTTCATGCCTTATTTAGGCTTCTGAAGATCTATGAGTATGAGTGTATATGGCATTCAGTTCAAAATGTTTTATAGGTTAAATCTAGCCAAATAACATTAGGAAGGTCATTGTGAATTAATTAGTAAGGCTCAATGCAAGGCTTCAATGAGCAGAATATTTTAAAATATTAATTTAATCTCTGAACCAAAAATATCACCATTAGCTTTAGAATGATGACCTTGACAAATCATGCTAACGGTCATTCAACATCATACAGTATCACGCATGACCTTCATGAATATTCATTAAAGTTCTGGCAGAGCACAGGATATTTTTTTGCAGACTACTACTGTACACAAGAGATGCCAATGATTTTCCCATCATGCTTTGTGAGCAGTCATGCTGGACACACACTGCTAGTGTGTCTGATACACTGTAGAACTACATTTAAATTGTGCAAAATATACCATAATGTGTCCATCATTCGATCATTCCTTTTAAAACTAAATGAACAGTGAACTGTGTTTGTATTTTAAAGGTAAATATTTTGAGCTGTCACAAATCACAAGACAAAACATGCATGGTTCTTTTAAATGCAGCAGTTTGCTTAAATGCAACAGAGCTTACAAGTTCCTCAGTTCTTTGTAACTGGCAAGGTCTGATTCAGTCAAGTTCTCCAGGTTGGCCTGGTATTCGATGTAGCTGATGTACAGGAGACAAAATGACAAAACACAGAAGAACGTCACATTCCATTCAAAAACATTACCACAAATCAGAGACTGAACTGAATGACCATCTACCACATCTGAAGGCTGGGGTGTTGCTAGAGATTTTGGGCCCCCCAGGCCAGACAAATCCAGTTATTTTCCTATTTTTTTAGGAATAACATTTTCGTCATAAATGAACTTCCAGACAGACAGGCACATATGCACAGACATGCACAAGTGAATAAAACATTTTTTTTAATTCCATCAATTCCAAACCTATAACCCTATTCTCAAATTTTACTTTTGTAACATTAATATTTACAGGCATTTAATGTTTTATAGACGAGTGCCTTTTTTACATAACATTCTTTAATAAAACTTGGATTTTGTAAGCTTAGATAAAGGTATACTGATGTGATCTATCGAGAAATATTTGCCTACTACCGTTCTTTTTCTATTGTTTTTAATTTGGCGCTGCAGCTGAAAATCAGTAGGCATTGCCATTGGTGACAGTCGGAGACAATAATCCACATTCTGTGGAGATCTGACTTTCTAATTAGAAATCAGCCCGTGCAACTAAACAATTCAGTAGAAAAATGCTAAACGGAGACCTCGTGCATTTCGCGCACGCCATTCTTGTAAATAGTAGTCTACAGCCACCCACCTGAAATGTCACGTAGCTTTTACCATGTGAAGATGTAATTTAAGGCTGTTTCCCTACTGAAAAAAACATCATAGACCAGCATGATTTCCAGGTGCTGGTGTAGCTGCACATGAGGCCGCTCCACCAGCAATATTTCATTAATGATGCTTGTCCGCCAGCACCAGAACACAACATATGCTGGTATGGTCATGCTGGAAACCAGCTGTGTTGGTGTATTTTTTTTCAGCAGGCATTTCTTCTTTTACTAACATTTTTAAATGCTTTTGACTTGTTGAATTCCGAAATTCAGTTAGAGACCAGTAATTGTGTAGTCAGGGGAAGAGTGAGAAAAGACGTGGGACGTGCTCTCACCAGTCATTTGCAGTTAATCTAAGATAAGACATCGTTTGCCAAAAGAGTCCAGTTGATACTGAGTCGCTTATCCCATTTTCTTTTATTTGCTCCACAATATGCTATCCCGGCAATGGCATAAGTGCAGATAGGAGTCCAACAAATGCATTCGTTTGTAATTCGGCGAAAAACAAGAAGATCGGTTTGCCACAGAGTACCAAGACTTATTCAATAGAAGTAAATGGGTGATTTGTCATTTATCGTCAATTTGCAATTTACAGCATTGCATTTGTAACTCGATACCCTAATCGCGGCATTATCTGTATTTGCGCAGCCGAATAAACAGTTTTTTTTTTGTGCTCCCAGCCAGTTCAACAGACGCGGTCGGTCTCACTAAAAGGGCAAACCGGCGCTCTCCCGTTTCCTGACACGGCGGCCGGGAGTTCAAAAAGGCAGCACCCTGAAACTGCCCGGGCAACACCTGGACAGTCCCGTGCGTCTGCGTTTATAGTTTGACTTTAGGAAGGTGTTTTAAATGTCTAATTCGTTTCTTATTATTTCTTGCGTGGTGCAACACGTCTCATTTGTGCAGACTGCTTTATGTTGCTTGTGTGGAATAATTGACCGGACACATTCTTTTCCCAAAAACTCCCCATAGAAATTATTCGTGGTAATACAGATATTTAGTACTTGTACAATGGAAAGAAGCGCTTGTAATCGGCGCTGTGGTATCATTACAACCCGTGTTTCAAGTCCCACAATCATCATTAGCCACGCTATTCTTAGAAGTTATCGAACACGATTCCTGTTGAGTGCATGGAGCTGACTGGAAACGTGGTCTATTACTCATTAGTTATCAATAGTTATGGACATCATCAACAGGACTGGCTGCTATGTATCCTTGTGAATTTGGTGCTTGATTATTGCCTTTTTTTTACATTAAATGAGCATTGTTTGTTCATTTAAGCAGCATTCTGTGCTCCTGCATTTACACAAACACTCACACATGCATGTCTTTGTTTCTCTACAGTGAAATCCCTGCTTGTTGGTTTTGAAATGTGTGATTAAAAACATTTCAAACATCTGCTTTTCATTGCCTTGTCTTCATTTGCCAGCAAGTTTTTCTAGCATTAAATAAGTACATTTCTAAAGATTATTCGGTTATTCACCATCTTGGAAATACCTGTAGAAATTTAAAAATATCCCAGACATCCTTACAAACAAAACTGTAATATAAGTCAGGAAAAATATATAACAGACCCACTGTACCAATGGTATATGTAGTATATTTGATTTTGTGACTTGCAATTTTCCTCGCTCATTGCTTAATTTATTCATTGCTATCTATGAACAAAATATACATTTAGGCACTTAAATCAACAGCTGTTTATGTAGTCCTTCTTTACAGCTTGCTATTGTGTGTCAGTCGGTACCATAATGAAACTTATACAAGCATTAAGTAATTTCTTAAGCCTCAAGCCATCCGCAAAAAATTACAGCGCAAGCAACGGAGTCAAAAGGTTGGTCACTGGTTGAAAAAACTAGGAGACACTCTTTGCAAAATGCTGAGCTGTCCTTCACGTTATAACCCAATTCAACAGCGATAACACAACAGTTAGTGAGGGCATACTTATGCTGAAGTGTTACTCTTCACCTAAGGTAGGGGGGGGGGTCAGTAAAACGACTTTCTGGGAAATCAGAGCCTGTGACCGAGACGAAGAGGTGAAGCAGGTGAACTCACATGTCGGTGATGTTATCGCTCTCCTGTGACCCCAGCGACGGGACGGCGGCCACACTGTTGATCTCCGAGCACAGGAGGGTGATGGACGAGCACTGGCAGGTGGATGGGCACCCGGAAGCAGCCTGCAGCGCCAGGCAGGAGGTTACCAGTGCCAGGGCGACCCAGCGGGCCCGCCCACCCACAGCCACGGCCATGGGGCGAGCGCAGACGGAGCGCTGGAGGGATGCGACCTGGACCACCGTGACCGCCTATCTCTTCCCCGATCTGTCGCGACTCTTCTCCTGGATGGTGTGTGGGAGCTTTGTGCTCCCGGCCAGGCGTGCAGGCGTGGAGCCCTAGCAGCGAGTCAGGACCCTGGGGACGTGGGGCTCGTCTCACTCCAGTCAGAGGCGGAGGGAGGGGCCTGACCGGCCCATTAGCGAGTGCGAGAGAGACAGAGCCGGTGCAGGGAGAGCCTGAGGGCACCAGTCGGTTCTGAGAGACAGTGGGCGGGATAGAAAAGAAGGAGAAGTGAAGAAAGAGAGTTAAAAGAGAATGGAAGTGTTGCCTAGATCCACCACTGTCACATGAAGGTCTCACTGGTGTCTTAGTGACATCCTGTTACTGATGTGGTTTTGGTGGCATCAGCGGGTACCTTTCTGGTGAAGCCAGACCAGTTTTTTTTTTCCCGCCAATCCACATCGAGGGGTCCGGAGGGCTGCCAGGTTCCGGTGGCATGGTCTGTACCTGCTGATGCCCTTTGACTGCAATAACTCATTGTGTACTTAACTATTCCAGTGACGATAACTGCTGACCCATCCACATGTCTAATTTCATAAAAGGCTCGGTTTGTGCTTAATGGAAAGTAGGCTGAAATGGCTAACCTGCTTCTCATTCCGATTGGCCTAATATTGGTGGAGCAGAGAGGTCAGAGAACATATCCATTAAAAGAATCGCAGTGAGTGATTTGTAAATAGAATATACCAGTTCAGCGTTCATGGGAGAATGTAGGATTGCCATCCGCACTGGGCCCTTCAGGGAGAAGAAAGACAGACTATGTGGAGACGCATATTTATATCCCTTTGGGGCCTGGATGGAGGACCTGGTCACGGTTCCCCAGGGGGAGGCTGACGTGAGCATTGCTGAGCCAGCAGCACAGCCTCTTGTCAGCAGTCATGTCTGCACACAGCGGAGTCACTGAACTCTGAAGCCTGGATACTTGTGTGACACGTGGGAGTGAATCCTATTGGTTCTGGGTGCTATCTTGTACTTCCAAAGCTATTTCATCTACCAAAGTGAAAATCGGAATGGAACAGGGTGTAGAATGAGATCTTTGATCTTTGATGTGATTGTACTGTTTTTGCAGCAGAGCCTCTATTTTTGTCTTCCAATAATTCCTTTGTTTATCAAACTTAGTATTTATGCATAATTATCAGTTTTATTCCATTGTTCTCGCTCATACTTCATAATCGTCTATGTTCATGACTCCCAAATATGATCCAAAATGTTTCAAACTACTGACTGATGGTTTTGTGTCCCAAAAGGGACAGGTGGTCATTGCGAGGCTTTTGTTTTTGCATATTTGATAGCCGTATATGACTTATTCTATTAATGGTTTGCAGGTAGTTCTGGTACAATCAAGCATACGTCAATGGCCAGCACGCTCGATGATGTCATGCCAGTCTGTATTAATGCAGAAGCTGGATGGGGCTGCTAGGGGTCCTACAGTACATCAAGGAGGAAATACAGCCACTTCAACCCAACACTGTTTCCCTGCCTGACTACCAGGCAGGCTAATGATTCTGGACTTTTGTACCGGAATTGAAAGAGGGACAGCAGGTGGAGGAAAGGAAATATGAAAAATTACCTACTGCTCTGAGTGGCCGCCATTAATGCGAGGCTGCATTCCACCCCCTTGCGCGCACTCACAGTGCGAGCCCCGCATCTTGCTGTAAATGCTGTGCATTTTCCCATCTGGGGTAGAGGACAATTACAGGAAGTCGCCAATGACGGGGGGCCGAGCAGGATATGGTGAATAAGCCACGCAATCAAAGCGAAGGGCAATTGAATTAAGGGCAAAGCGCAGACAACGGTGTGGGTAAGGAACTCCTACACACGGTGAACAGTTCCTCCATTTGTCACCACGCGAGTCCCCAACTGACCATTAACTCCTTCGGGGGCTCCCTCCCACCCACATGAGCTCACTGGTTACTTGGGGTCAATTCAATTTGGGGGGTCGTTGCGTTCGGTGTACGCTCTTCGTGTTGCTAAAGCGCCGAAGCTTATAAACTTGGTCAGAGAACTTCAACAGTCTTTGTAAGCTGATGCCAAAGCAACAGAATGAGCAAAAACACAGTTTTTTATGGTCATTTATGTTTATTGTTATTAAAACAGTAATTTGAGAAACGTCATGCATAATTCCTCACTGCCGCTGAAACCGTTAGCGATTTATTTGTGCTAATTGGAGGTCAGGCTTACTGAACTGTGCTGGATGTTGTCTCAGTGTTGGATGGTATAAACAACATCTTATCAAAATGTGCAAAGTAGCTAATGAGGAGAAAATATGATATAGATAGTTTTTGTTTAGTTTGTGGTTTCCCAGCTGTCAAAAATGATGAAGATTACAGGGCATCCCAGTGCTCTGTTTTCAATGAGCATTTCAAAACCTGATTTTAGACTCTTGAATATTACTATTGAACGTTGTCAAGTACTGTAGATATATTTATTATCTGTTATTTTATTTCAGTCTGCTTTGTGGGTCCTTCTCACACTTTACTCACTTACATTCCCACTCCTGATATTCTATTCCTGTTTTTTTACTGGCTGACAAATGAGTCAAAACATCCAGCACAATATTATCAGGATAATGGTGGAATCTGCAACATCATTGTTTCCATCTGAATTACAGAGAATTAATCATTTGATAAAGGAGACATTCAGCCATTAGCAAACATTAACTGCTTCAGTCATTTCAAGCAAAGGTCAGACGTAGACAGCAAGTGTTATAATGGCTCTGGGTGGACAACTATAGGCAAACTGGAAAGTTAGGGAAATTATTTTAATATTAAGACTCACTTTAAATGCTTTGTGGCTTTGAAATGCACCACTTGGTATTATTGTCCCAAAATAGAGTTCCTATGCCTGTATTTAATACTGTTCTTTACTGTACAAGGCTGTCATATTGGGCATACAAACCCGAAAACTTATAGCCTTGGTCCACATACTTTGAAATGGTTTTCACAATGTTGGAATATATAAGACGTGAAGCATTATGTATCTTTTTCTTAAGCATGGCCATGGTGAGGACACACTGCCCCCTGAATCACATGCATCACAATACGCATATGTGACAAAAGCCTTCGACACAAACGAAGACCGGCTTTGCCGTTGTGTTTGTTGAGGTTATGGTATGGGGGGGAAAAATCCACTCGATTTAGCTTCCGTGCCAGTCGTTTGAGCTACAAGGGGAAGCAAAAGGATTCCAATGCATGCAAAAACTGCCAGGAAAGAAAGGGAGGTGGAACAAATAGATTATGGGTAAATGGGATCACCTGACTCTTTCCCAAGATGGGGGGGAGCCCCACCCTGCCCCTTCCCTCACCATATCGCTGGAAGTGTTTATGTCAGGCTGTTTAGAAAATGGAGAGAGAGATGAGTTACATAGACTTCAATAAAGTCGTCAACAATATCTACAGGAAACCTTAGGAGATCAGCAACCGATTTAGCTATAAATATGATGTTTTCTCCCCTACTGTTTATTGTATATAAATAGTGCAACTCCAATACCTTTTGCATGACTTCTCTGTGTTGGTTAGTAATTTGTCTAAAGACCTGTATGTCTCATAGAGGCCTATGTGATGATGTCCAGTGCTGGACGCTCTGTAAGCTCCCGCAGACATCACTAATCTGCTCAGGCACTGGTTCTCATGACACAGAAATGTTCATGGGAGTGAAGGCTGTCTTACCTCACTGCTACTTGCTTACCATCCAAGAATTTGCACCCGTATTTTGGCAGCAGTATGGCGCGTATCAATACAGCGGTATTTTTACGGTACGGCGGTCAACGAGCATTCAGGAGAAAAGGAATTTGACGTGAAGAGACGGACGAGTGAGGCTTGCAAGAGATTTCCGTGTTTTCGGTTCTTGTGCGAAGGGTGGAAGGAACCGGATCTTGCAAGAAAATCTTTACGGGGGGTTGGGGGTGGGGGGAGAGGGGGAGTGGAAGATGAGAAATAGGAGGGGAGGAAGACACACTTTTTATCATTCCTGGGATAGCTACTCTCGGGACAGGTGCTCAGGTTTCGGCTCATCTGCATAACCATGAGTCTTTCGTCCCCCCCGCTGTTGACCAGGAACTCGTCGCATGAAGGAGACGCGATCGGGTTTCCCCGCCTGAGCCCCCCAGCGTAGCGGAGGCCGATCAATGGCGGCTGCTCCTGGAGCTCTTCTGACACGGCTCGTCTCAGCCCTTGATTGGCGTATTTGGGTGTTGGACGGTTATACTGTCCACGGCACTGTGCCTCTCCCTGATAGGAAGACAGGAAACAAGACCGTGCGGAGGAAAACGAAAATACAAGAGCAACAAATCCGAGAAACCACCCCATTCTCTCAGGCCCCCGTCTCCATCCCCCAGTCAGGCCCGGTAATTTATCGACCCGGGAGACCGAGCCCTGCTGAGATTGTGCCCGTTTGTTCTGTGAAAGAAGCTCATCAGCACCGAAATAACCCAAGTCAACCCTTTCCTTATGTCCTCATCCTTCCCAGTCAGACATTTAAAACATTATGGCATCGGCCATAAGGTCCTTAACCCAGATTTCTCCAGCAGAAAAAGCCAATGACACTGCAGACATCCAAAGTATTCACAATGGGACCTGGAAAGAAAAATAAGAGTTATCTACAAAGTCTGAATAACAGAGAAAAACATCCTCATTTTAAGATGAAAGCAAGCGGGTTTTCGAAATAATATAATTTTTCTTAGTTTCATTTGCGCAATTTACCATAGCTACTGCTAACAGCTTTTGATAGTTTTAAACTTTTAATTTCTGTAAAGAAAATGCCCCAGCACTTCTGGAAAATAAACCTTTTACTTTGCTATAACTTCACTGTTATATTTCATTAATCAATAATAACCAGTCTGAAAAGTAAATGACTAACGGGAGACTCATCAAGCTAATTATTTTCAGATTTCCTCAAAAATAGGCATTTTAATCTCCTTTAGTGTACGGCCGGTACCGTAATTGCTTGGTGACAGAGAAGCACTGTTAAAATTGGTTTGGGTGCAAGATGATTGGAGCCTGCAGAAGTGGACATTAGCATATTGTTCTCACCATCTTTGCTTATGTTCAACACCAAAGAATGAAAGTGTTCCTGGATCCTCTACAGAACCA